AAGAAAGCTGAATACAGCAGAGAATCTTGGAAATGTCTACAATATTCTCCTAATGTTACTTTTCTGTCACAAAATATAGGTAGCTAAAGAAGACACCTTACAAAGTAACCCACTGCAAAATGAACCTACACTTTTTTTAAAAACTACTCTCAAAAAGCAGTTACTTTCAGTACCAAATCTAAAATGGGTTTTAACAGGGGCTTCTTAGAATCAGGTAGTATTCCATTCTTTCATTACTACTTTCAGTATCAAAACTAAAATGGGTTTTAACAAGGGCTTCTCAGAATCAGGTAGTATTCCATTCTTTCATTAGTGGCACAGGTGACAGACTGAAGTAAGCTTACTAATCTTTCGATTCTTTTCCTTCCCCAACCCCCAGAAAACAAAAACTGGGGAGGGATGCAAACACTTTGGAAGGAAGGAAAAGAACCCACAATTATTTTGACAGAAGATATGACAGACTATGGATATGAAATAAAAAGAACATATTTTACTAAGTGTGCAAAGCAATGCACTCCAGCATAAGGTCAGTGTTAGGCAGTATAAACACAACTCAACATTTTCCCTTTTAAACCATTGCTCTTCTTTGACCTTGCATGTCGATTCTGGAATAGATTCAACATCCTTGCAGGAGCATATTTATTTTTTAAAGTATATATTTATTGTACCTGTGAAATGCTTTGTTCCCTTTTCAAATAACCGAATGTTGTTGTACAAGTTTGAGAATTCCTCCTGCAATTCCTTCATAGTCTGTCTTCTGCTAGCTCCAGAGGAAGATGTTGAAGATGTAAAAACAGAACGCACAACTTCCTGGTAAGTTTTTGTTAAAGGTCTGAGAACAGGGAGGAAGAAAGGAGAAATATTAAGCAAAGTGTAAAACTGTAGAAGGTTTTTCCCAATATATCAGCAATAGAGAAAGCTACCTCATTACACAGTAAAAGAATGGGACAATAATGCCACAGAATGGTGAGATAAACAGTAAATAACTGAAATAATAAAAAAGCACTAGGAAATTAAAATGTACTTTTGTAACTGCAGAAGTACTATTGCTTATATTATGCATGGTATGTAAGTGCTTGCCAAGGCTTTAACTCAGAACAACTCCTACGTGGGAACAAGATGAAAGACACAAAAGACTTCCAGAAGCAACACTATTCATAAACTCTTTCAGGGGTCTGTGAACAAATTTCAGATCAATGAAAGCTATAAGAGGAAGACTTAAGTGCCATTAAAACAGCACAGGCCCTTCTAAAGATGCAGTTACCATGGCACTCCAAGTTTATTCAAGCTTGGGATGTTACAGTCCTATCATGTCCTTTTTGCCCTGAACACCCATATTTACATCCCCTCTCTTGTATGGAACATCTTTTAAAAGAAGTTATTCATCTTTACTTAGATCAGTTTGCTGACTTAGCTTACCACACAGTTCACACAGATACCAGGGGAGCCACAAAAGACGGAGAACGTGAACATATACCAAGGGCTGTACAGGAGATGGGAAAAACCCCAACGTGGTGAAACTCCAACATGGATCAGTGTAAGGGGGTGGAAATACACCCATGAGCCTGAAATATGTTTGCTTACAAAGGATGCAGAACCACCTAATGCTAAGCAGAAGCATTATTTCTCATTACTGTGTCAGCACAGCTTTCATACATAAACAAGTATGTAACATGGAGCTGTATAGAAAAAGAATACTGTGGTTCACTTCCATCAGTAAAACATTTTTTTCTAAGCATGAAGACAGATTGAAGAGAAGATTAATCTGAAGTGAATCACAGACTTTCTAAGTCCAGCTGAATTACTGAAATTACCTTATTAGATGCTCAGCAAGTTCCGCAATAAGCTCTTCAGGACAATCTGCCATGTGGGTCTTCAAAACGTCCTGAATTTCCTCCTCTGACATGAAAGGGAACTCCGGCTGCTTATTCCTACCTGTAATATCCATTGCGAAACATCCAATGAGCAACATCCATTGAGAAAACATTACATTTAGTTTTGCTGCAGTTACTCTGTGGCATGAGACATTGAAATGCCTGAAAGTCCAAACCTCCATAGAAGAAATGCATTATCAACAATGCAAAAAAAAAAAAAGGGATGACTACAGATGACAGTTACATTTTTCACATATGAAAAACTGATAGAATTTCTCTTTTGATCACTTGTTATTTTCTGTAACAAACAACTTAAGTAGTATATGAGGACATGCATTTTTGGTGAGACATTTCAAACTGCCTGGCCCATCCACTAGTTTAGAAACTATGACATCACAAAGACAGTTATTTTAAAATGCCAAAAATGAATGCAACATTGAAGGATTTCACAACATAGTTGGTTTTTTTTTTTTAACTCCACGGAGTAAGGTACACAATCGTGCAACAGAGAGTATCCTAAACCGGAAGTCACAGTACAAAATTTGAGATACAATAAAGCAAGACTATTAAACCAGACAAGAAGTTCCAGTAATAAAATCAACTTACATGCTGCTTGTAAATGCATTTGAATTAGTGCATGAAGTTTGTCTGCATGCTGCAGAATTTTGTGTTTTCATATAAAACTGAGATCAGGAAAATGATGGGCAACTAGAAAAGGACAGGCATTCCATGTTCCAGATGCAGCATAAAACAGGTTTATTCTGCACATGAGGTAACTAAATGGAAATCAATGATATTCCCAGTTGTGCCACAGTAGCAATGAACAACATAAAAGGCTATACAAACAGGTAGAATGGGAGCTAAAGTAGGGTTTTGGAAGAGTGTTATTTATATTTGAATGGTTACATCTGAATTTATCTTGGGATTTTGGTTCAGTTTATTTATTACAGCATAGCAATACAAGCAGCAACAATTGTATAACATGACAGGCTACACCAAAAAAAAGGTGATTTAACACTGTAACTGAGTAGTCTTAAAAAATAACTTAGTTTATATGTGAATTAAAGTAATTCTATGAGAGTAGTATCACACCAAATTAAGATGCTGTACTTCACAACTTCAAACATCATATTTAAAAGTATTTTTCAGTCGATATTGAAAGTCTAGATACTTTATATGAAATGGAAGTACACATTTCTGGTATTCCATCAAATAAAAGAAGTAACACATAATCATGATTGTCTCATTTACAACCACTCTTAGCTATAAGTCTAACATTGTAGGCGTTTACTTCTGAGGAAGCCATCCATGCTCCTTCTCCTAACAGTAAAGCTAGAGAGCTGGGTACTAAGAGGGAGTGATTCAAACTCATCCTGCAATACACACCTACAACAAGTGAGACAGGCTAGCCCTTCAACGTACCTACTTTCCTCCATTACAAAGTCAAGAGTTATAAAGATAGCTAGCTTATATGCAGAAGTCTCAGTCACGCAAAATGAATCTTATTTAAAATACCGAAACTTTATTTTGACTGTATATTTTATCCTTATGAGGAAAAACATCTAAGTACTGTTTCATTGCACTGATTTTGTTAATTTAAGCTAATTAAGCTTTGGAACCAGATGAGAACTTCTCCATTTACCATACACTATTCAGGTGTTAAGAAACCAAGTATAATATTCATCCTGATACCTAAGGCATTTCCTACATAAAATAAAATTTAAAAAAACCCAAATACCAAACTACCTGCTCCCATTTCCTTTACTTAAATTTATTTTTTTCAAGACTAAGTTATACTATTCAGTGAATACATTATGTCCATTTCATTTAGATAGCAGTAGCATATTCATTGATACAATTCTAATGGAATAGCATTCTCAAATTCTTTGATATTTTACTTGACTTTATCAATACAGTGAAGAAAAACAGATATATGGAAAAGCAAGTGAATAAAAACATGTCAGTATGTGTACATAGTGTCCAAAATGACAAACCTGTGCTAGTAGCTTGCAACTCTTCATCGCTGTCCACATCCTTTCTTCCTTTCTTCTTAGTTTTCTTAATCTTGATCTCCCTGGCATTACCACCTCCTCCTCCTCTCACGCTTCCACTGCCCTCTGGTGGAGAATTATGTGCTTAGTGCACAGTCAAGTTCTAGCATTTAAAAATATTGTTTACAATATTATGGTAATTTATCTGCATTACTTGTTAATGCTGAATTAAAAAAAACACAACCTGAATTTAAACATAACCTATAATACATATTCCAGAATCTTAGGGCCATAAGTTTCATTCTTAAGGAAAAAAAACCAACTAAGTCAAAGCTTTAAGCTAATGTCATTAATAAACACAAACACTAATCATATCAAATGTATTATTAAAAAAAAAAAAACCAATATCTTTTTCCAGCTTTTCCAAACAGATGAGATACCAGTGTCCATAATAGTAATGGGAGAATTTCTGATGGTTGAAAACAGCACCTTAGTAAGCATTTAGCATTTTTATTCAGTGACGCTGAATAATGTAGCTACTCAAAAATATTCCAGATAATGTACATTTGTTAACTTTCAGAGAAAGAATCCTACTTACTAAGCACTTACCCAAAATATTCTTGGAAGCGTGCACTCAACTAACCAGAACACTATTTTTTGACTATTCCTAGATGACTATAAAGCAATGAGAAGTTCCAGTTCTCACAAACATAACAAATTACTTAGTTCATAGGTCCTGTAATCCATGTATTCATACTGCAGACAGGATCTCAATTTGCAAGACAGTCCCTTTCCACAAGGTAAGGTGCTCTGCTGTTTGTTCCCTTTGTCACAGCTCGTTACCTTCTTTTTTTCACTTGAAATAAATTGAAACTCCAGAATAATTGGTTCCATACATGTACTAAGTCATGAGAATGTAGTCATTTTTTTGTTTAAATATAAAGTTGAAGATTTCAAGTCACTGCGTTATGTAACAGTACTATCTTTTAATGAAAGGAAGCACAAAGACGAGATGCTCCTACTCACAAAGCTAACTGAATCTGTTATGTACTACAGATGGATTTTTAAAGACTACTTTGCAGAAACACCAAACCAGTTCACTTTTCACTTGCAGCTAGCAGCAGATGGTGTACTTGAGACACCTTCTGAGTTGAGTTTGTGACCTCTCCAAAAAAAAGGAAAAAAAAAAGGAAAGTTGGTGTTTTTCACAAACTTATTGGAAATGTGACTGCATTCACCTGAACAGATACAAGCTGTTTGTCAACTGTGTAATATACTAGTTATTGTGGAAACAAGTTCCTTTCTTTCTGTATTCCACTTTACAGACATAGAGAAAAAGCTGCAATCTGCAGTCAAGATCTTATCCACAGAGAGATGAAGCAGGAGAGACTGCTGCTGGAAAAGCCATATTTTATGACAATAGGATACATGGAATGTAAAGTACACAAAGAATTACAAAAGTATTTGCCTCTCCAAATATTTATTTATAACAGACTGTTGCAAATTATATTATAAATAAACAATAGAGAATTTATCTTGGAAATTTTCATTAACCCAATACATGGCAGAGTCCATATTTGTAATGAACTGCGTTAACACTACCCCACCTCAGGTTACACTTAAAACAGAAGATACTGATACAGTCACATGCAGACCTTAAATAGGCACTGTGACATTGGCCACATTCTGCCATTGCAAAATAACATCTAACCCTTAAACTGACTGTTTTAAGGTAATACACCAAACAGAGCATAAAAAAACCACTGCAGGGTAGTGGTTGCTGATGGTGCAGCATGTATTACCTGTGGATATGAATGTGTCCAGACACACAGTACGTGCTTAGCAGAGGCTCACTCAGAGGGTTAGAAGCTGAAGTCATTCTATTTATGCCAGTTCAATTAAAATAAATTTCAAGCTTCTCTGCTTCAGGTCTGGCCTAGAAAAATCAGCTGTCTCTCGTAGTAAGAGCAAGTTTAGATTCCATGCCAACTCAGTCATGGCCTTTTTAAAGAGTGTAATATAATGTTTTATTTTTCAGATAACTATATTCAATTAAGCTAGATGCATCAGCGCTCTAATTATGTTACTTTCAGTACCACATAAAACTCTGCATGTGAGTTCAACACAGATTGCTCAGCTATGCTGTAGCAACACAAGATCCATATAAAGTTTTTGGGACTGAAAATACAGTCTGTAGTCTGAATAATGTTTTAAAAACCAGAAAAGTTTGAAAGGGCTAAATACACATTTTTTTTTTTTTTTGATTAGGATCTACTCTAAACAGCCACCACACAAATGGAGTAAGGCTTGGGATTAATTTAACGCAAATACACCTTAAAGTAAACTGTGTGAAACTCCAAATAACTGTTATAAGTGCAAACAACAGAAAAAACATCTGGCATGGGATTCTCAGAAAAGATGTACAATATTCTCCAAAAAAACCCATCTTAATACCTCTTTTCTCAATTTAGACAGAGTGATTTTGGCAGTAACTTCTCAAGACTGTTAAGAAATTTTCACCTGGATCTCTGAAAAGTGAAGAGTGTTATTTATACTCTGTAATAAAAAAATGGTACAGAGATCTCTGAGCTAATACTGGTTTCGTCAGTCCTCACTGCAAAACTCAAACTTATGTGACCATACCATACACGCTAATAAATGAACATGGATTTCTCACTTCTAAAGCCAGTTGCCTTGTGTTGGACTAACTCAAGGTATCTTTATGGTACTTCCTCTGCACTTCTAAATCTGAAATTAGTTATAATGGACATAGCTCAGATATATTTACACCTACAGTATAATGATGATAAGTGGTTGGATTATTTCTTAAGTATTTTCAGCGACAGTCTGGAGGCAACTAACGGACTACAAAATATAGTAACTTTATATTTGAGTATTTCCAAGGCTAAACAAGCCTTTTTTTTTTTTTTTTTTTTTTTGCTTAAGCTAAATGTTGATGCCTTACCAGTTGCCTTCTTTCTTCGTTCATCCTTTTTGTCTTTTTTATTAGCATATGAATTCTCTAAACCAGAAGCCTGTTTTAAATCTTCTTCAGTGATTAAATTAACAGGGTTACTTTTCATTTCCTAAAATGAAGAACATGCACTTAATAGCAAAAAGACAATCATAGCAACAAAAGATGCATACAGAAATATTTAAGCCATTTCTCCATTTTTAAACATACTAATCTAACACCATGTTTTCCAAGTGCAACACATGAAAAGACATTAATTCTTCTCTTCAAAATTCAGCATCTTCTCATATTGTTAGTGTGATGGTGTTCCCTGAATGCAACTAAATATACATTAAATTAAACTGATTACATATATAAACCTTTTCTTAATTTTTGCCCTTCTCAAGCTGTATTTCAGATGAGATGGAAAGAGATGGTAACAGCAAATAGAAAGGCACATAAACTATACTCCAACACTCAACACATATTGCATCTTGACCAATAAAAAAACCTGTACCTTTTCAGCTTTCTGTTGCATCTTATCAGAAAACAGATCAGCACAGCTGCTCAGAAATTTCTCACTGACCACAATGGTGTCACTGAAGACTAAACCTGAAGAACTTTTGTTTAAAGATCTCATCACATGCTGAAGCAAAATCCCAGCATCTTCTACGGACAATGAACTGGGCAGAAGAGTCTAGGGTAAAGAAAATTAAAATCATTTACATACAATAACCTGTTCTGGAATGGACAGACATACTTGTATATGGATAAGACATACTTGTATGTGGATAAAAAGAATACACAGACACCCTATTTGACATCTGTTAATTATTTAGAATATATCACACTTTTTCAATTAAACTAGTAATTTAAGAGTAAACACTATTTTAAATCTTCTAACATCCCAAATCAAGATTGCTCTAGAATATGCCTTACCTCTGGCAAAACACATGGCAACTTCTTCAAAATGCAGCTCAACAGAGTAACACCAAGCACAAAACAGCAGGCCTCCTCACAAGCGACGGAGTAGGGCTATAAGGCCTAAAATTAGGATTTAGCCACGATAAAGTGGCTAATATTCCTCTGCTTATCAAAACTGTAATGAGTTCAGTTTAAACTTCTTTCCGAAAAAAAAAAACCTCCACAGAAATATATTGGTCTCTAGCAGAATACATTAACCCTAATTTTGAAATGAAAGCTAGTCTTAGGTATCTATTAACTGAATACTGGTATGTTCTTCCCCTGTTTTTGTTCAGACCAACTTAAAGGACAATAACACCTTTTTACGTACTATTTTACTTAAACCAAATATTCTTGGCAACATGGAATTTTCATTATACATATGTGCAGTTTCAATAAAGTATGACTTGACACAAAAATAAGACAAAATAAATAAATCTAACAACAACAATTGAAAGATTGCTTACTGCTACATCTATCCAGTTTCCAGAGCTGATAGCTTCCTCTACAGAGGCTTCAACTTGATCCACAATTTCTTGACCAACACAAGCTGCTCTCAGAAATAAGAGCTGTGCGGACTTGTATCTTTTTTTAATGTAGCCTGCTGGGTCAGGGATGCCAAGTCTGTACAACGCATCAAATTCTATAAAATAGTTAGATGTTACATTCAAGTTCCTTCATATACATACAGGATCTTATGTGATAACTTTTTTTGAAGGCAGGAAATTAAGAAATACATACAGTTTTTAGACAAGTAAATGCAGCCTCTAGCTGATACTGATGTAAAACGTAAAACTTAGTTCAGTACACCTAAACACAGTTAATAGAAATATGAAGATTAAATCATGGCCATGACTTCGGTCTGAGTTTTGGAATTTTTTTTTTCAGATTCTTATACCATTAAATTTATCTTTGCAATTACATCTTTCCAGAGTATCCTAATATAACATAAACAATATATACAATAGAAACAATGTCAAAACATTTTGTTTTCAAAAGTTACTCCAATATACTTGTAGCATCATGCAATGCCTCACAAGCAAAGCATTTCACCTGTTCGGCAGTTCATACTTAGATGTTCTGAAAACATTCAAGGACTTTGACAGATACTCTATCAGTCAAGCAATATTACAGAAATACTTAATATTACAGCAAATTATGCTGAACCTTTTCAAACTGCAAGACTGTTATTTAGGGACTGGCCCTTTGCGACCATAAGGGTACATTCCTCTGTTTACTCAGGCCCACATTTTCCCACAGCTCCTGTTTTAAAACACCATTGTCCAGCATCACTCAGCTTTAAGTTAGACAGACTGGTTTGGATTCAAATCAGGACATCAGGGCTACCTGCTCCAGTTCTACAAATCTGATTTTGGAAAAGGTTCTTCCTGTGTGCTGCACGCTTGGCTATCTGGACTATTAACAGCCAGAGCGTGGTTGTAACCTGGACTGCTGTTCTGAACTCCAACAATGTGGGTCAAACCTGATCATCTGAAAAGCCTACGATGAGCAGTCTAAGAAATGTTTTCAGACTGTAATAAAAGTAGCATTTGTAACTGTTTGTGAAAAATAAAGTTACTGTTTAGCAGTATTGCTCTCTGCTGAAATAAGGTTCTTTGTGATAAAGTAACACACATCATTAAAAGCAAGATGGTCTTTTAACAAAGGAGCATCAGCTGCTGTATTGATTTCCACTTACTCTTGTGAGGCTTCAGTCTAGACACCAGCTATATTAGAGTAAGACCGATTACCTCCAGTGGTTTTAGAAAGATATTTTATCTAGAAGAATAAAGATTAATTACCTAAGTAACCATTCTGCTTGAAAAAGGAATCCACCCAGTTGCTCTGTGTTCTGGCATAGATATCTGGAATAAACACAGCCTTATCCTGTCTCCCACCAACCACGGTGCCTTTTAGACGACCGCTGTTAACAAGTTCTTCTAGCACAGCTACAAGAAGAAAATAAATGAAGTGACATTTTCCACTTCAACACATGCATTACTCAAAACTTAGCAGTTATTTTGCCTGTCTTGTTTTTTATTTTTCTCCCATCTCTTAGTTGTTTTCCTTTTTACTATTAATTGAAAGAAACTGAAGACAAAACTACAAGTGCTTTTTCTAGTGAAACATTTCTGAGTTCTATCAATTATTTTTAACACTTATGAGAATGTCTTGATAAAAGCTCTGGAAATCATGCAACATTTCAAAAGAGTGAGCCACAATGGCAGGATCAAAACACTTTTTACTGAACATATACTTGGACAGTTTGAGCTTTTAATTTAGAAAATGTAGTCACAAAAAAAATCTTTCTCTGGCCAGACAATAAAATGTATGAGCATTTAAATAATAATGTCCTATTCGAATTCACTGCTTGCATGATAACTAAGATGGAAAAAAGAGAGATCTGAACTCACTAAAATGACAGTAAAAATTTGCTACCTAAACTGCATAAATGTGAGCACCTCCTCCTGGCGACCATCTTCATGGTTTACCATGTTCACACTTACCAACAATAACCCCCTGATAATGCACAAATATTGATGACAAAGAATGTATTGGCAACTGGCAGTACCAAAGTACTAATGCTTTCTCAGTGCTAAACAAGGTATTTTCAGTCCTTTAAAGGTGTACAGGAATATCTGATTTGCCTTATATGTTCTGTTTTCACTCTTTCATAAGTTATCAGATACACTAAAAAAATCAGTGACTTCAACTGCCAAGCTCTGCTGACTTTCAGAGCTTTGCTCAATGGCTTTTTTACCTTCAGTTTGTGTTGATTTCTATTTCATTAAAAGACAGATTTTACCCCGGAACAGAACACTAAATGGTATTGCATGGTATTGCTCCTTCCTCATTAAATACAAGTAGCAGTCAATATTTCAACATGCTTAGTACAGCATATAGAAGTTTAGCTCACCTACACAGGAAAATCTGGTTCCAGAAGAAATACTACATTTTAAATCACAATTTTTTTATCAGATATGCCCACAGTGTAGATAAATCTCTGTAAGCTAGCAGCTATTGAACACAACTTCCACTAACAAAACTGAACAGTAGTTACAATGAAAAAATGTAGAAGAAAGACAAACTGACTTAAACAAGATATAGTTTTATGTAATCTAAGACAAGAACTAGAAGCTATGCTCTGCCATGGTTCAGTTACCTTACTTATAAGACAGATTCTGAAAATGAAATTAGATTTTTATACTTACGAATAGTTTAGTTACACTAGAAAATAGTCGACATGCCTATTCTACTTAAACAATTGTCAGACAATACAGTTTGCAATCTCAACTTGTCTTTGTTCAAATTTTTTGGGAAAAACAGCGAAACTTTTATAGGTATTTCAAACCATTTTGTGGAGCACTTGCAATAAACTGGAGACTGAAAGGAGAAGAAATGAAAATGCCAATTAATTTTTGTGTTATTTCAAGTGACAGTTCTAAAACTCCAGGGCAGGGAAGGTGCTTTCGGAGGAGATTTCACAGCCCCTACTACAATTATGCCTAAACAGTCTCTTGTTTTAAAACAACAGGAGCTTTGCAAAACTACTGTAATCTCACACGTATTTTTAAAGATGAGTAGTTTGTAGCGTGCTATTAGGTCTCTGACAAAGTTTGACAAAGATGATAAGCGTCCCTCTGTGTCTGTCCTATGTCAGCTACACAATATTCAGAAATCAAGAACATGTGCTTTCATTATGCTTTGTAATTAGTGTTTTAACTTAAACAGCTTATCATTTCTAAAATTATTTATTTTCTATCATAAATTCAAGTCAGCTTAACATGAATAGCAGCACAGCTATGTGACAGAACCAAAGACTATCTTGCCTAACACCAAGCGTTGATCAAATAATTAGCTGTTTGTAAATTATACAAACAGTACACTGAACTTTTTTTTTTTCCTGGAAGAAACACTAAACTGACAAAGACGTCTTTAAACCACAGTGTTACTAATGACAAACATAAAAAGCAAAGAGTCTAAGTAACATAATTAAAAAAGTATTTTTCAAGTTTTCAGCGTTTGTGGAATTGAAATGGTATCTCAGAAAATGGATAGAATAAAATCAAATGCGCTCTGGCAGTGAGTAAAAAGATCTTTGAAACTTATGAGACTGCAGAGGAAATTAAATAAAGAAAAACTAAAGAAAAAAGACGAACAAGCTCAAAAAAAAACAAGAAAAAGAAAGTAATAGAATACATTTAGCCATCATGACAATTACTGGTGACAGGAAAACACTGGAACTTCAATTCACGTTAACACTGTATACAGTATATATATTGCTCGTGCAATAAAGGATCAGGTACCTGCAGGACCTGTTTGAAAAAGACTATAACTGCATACTGAAATTTGTTGGGTACTGCAACATTACTATAATGCAGTTTAGCAGATTTTCCCTTCAATCTATGAATACACAGATGGCACCTTCCAAAAGAAGAGGAAACCTTAAATTGGTTATGTGAAAGTAGAGTGCTTATATGATTTTATTTAAATGCTAAGATTTTCATTTTTAATGAATAAGCTTGTTGCAAAGAACAAGAAGGTAAGCAGAGAGATATTATACTGGAGCTAAAGTGTGCAATGCCCTGAAGGCAAAAAGACCAAATCAAAAAAAAGAGGAATATTAACTTTCATGAGAAGAGAAAGAAAACCACTGAAGGATTCTGAAGACCAGCAGCACCTGGTCAGCCCACATACAAGACCAATGATGCTTGAAGCAGCATTTTAGACAGACAGGAGGGGATTCCTGGTAGTCAAAGAAAAGCTGCAACATTAGAAGTGAGAAACAATCAAGTACGGCCTAAAAGTTTCAGCAGTTGGATAGGAAAACTTTATGAATTTCTATTTTAAAAAGGAACTGCGGAAAATAAAAGCAAACAGTTTAAGGATATGCTTTATCTCTCAGTATATAAAGACATTTAACTAAGAGTGTAACAAAAGCTCTGCCTCTGCTACCACAGAGAAGAGTCAATAAATAAAATCCAGGGCAGTTAATGCCATTTGGCTAGATAAAAGCCGTCCCCTTTTGTGTGCTTCGCTGATAAAACTGCCAGTAGCCAAGGGCAAATAAGAAAAGAGATGACAAAGTGAGTCCTGCACTTCTTGCATCATTCTGCCCCCAGAGGCATTTATTTTGTCAATGCACGCTTTCATTGCTTTAGATACAGAGAACATCTCTTCTGTCATGGACAGCACAAAAGCTTTAACACTTTTTACGCTAGAGAGAAGCATATTCTTCTTTAGTCCAGAATTAAGGCTATACACTAAAATGCTTCTTTGAAAGCATACTTCTAGTAATGAAGAACCTATGAATTAACTAACAAAACCAGAAAGAAGTCTGAATGAAACTCACAGTAGAGTAAATGTTCTTGAAATCCATACCGAGTGATCAAATTACTTACAGGTGTAGGCCTTGGAAAAAAGAAAAACAAACCAATATAAGTTAATGATCTGAAACTGATGTGGAGAATCTAGAAATAAGAGGTTACTCCAGATGGACAAAACTACATAACGTCTTAGCCCCACGGAGCTACACTGATGCTTAACATAGCTTATAAGGTTTTAATTCTGAATTACTACAAAGTTGTAGCTTATAACAGAGCTACAATAATTATTGTAAGGAAACTTTTGCTGTCCCAAGTTTTTCTCTTCATACGAACTGACACAGAACATTACTGATTTAATAAGAAAAAATTATCTACAATTATATGTAGTGGGTAGACATCCACATTTAATTGACTGGAGAGTGGTGGAATCACAATGAGGGTAGATATTCTCCAAACAAATGTAAGAACGAGCAAACAACATTTTCTTTAGCCAAAAAACTTAAGTATGTTGTATACTGTATATTGTTACACCTTCCTTGTTCTCCTTTCCAAAGGAGGTCTTGACTTGAAAAAAACAAGTCTAATATAACTCAATATTTCACCCAGGAACTGAACTACACTTAAAGAAATCTATCCATGGGTCTTTATTTTCTTTCCTTTTTCAATCACAAATGAATCTGGTCCATGAAGACTTATGGTCAAAAATATATTAATATGTGGTTGCAGGTGTCGCAATTTACCGAGTAATTGCAGTGAAGAGACCACGAATGCGTGCTCGATGACGGGACACAAAGGCTTCTGTAAAAATCACCCCACGGTTTTCCTGGTCTAGTTGTCCACGAATAATTCTACCCAAACGTCTGGATAACGCCTGTAAATAGAAGCTGGGATGACTGCTGAAATTGCATAATAATGATGTTAAACAAAATTATTCAAAAAATCTGTATTAACAAATCGGCAAATTAGTTTTGCTAAAACAGACAAAATACTCAGAAATGAGGACCACAAGTGGAAATTATTATTTAGGTACATTGATCATGTGTCTTACTACACGTAACGATATCATTATGGCCCACACTCCAAACTTCAGGGAATTCAGTTTTCCTAATAATGTCCTTTTTTTTAAAAAAAAAAAAAAAAAAAAAAAGAGAGATATATGTGTATCTAACGATGGAAGAAAACTTTGCAAAACAAATAACTATGGTTTGGAGACGCACAATAAAAACTAAGATTTGACTTTTGTATTAATTTTGTACGAATCAGTGCCAGAGGAATTTGCCATCCATTTTTTCAGACAGTCAAGACAAAAATTAGCAACAATGAACACAAGGAGGTGCAAACAGTTTATAAATGTGCACTAAGTGCACATTTACAAAAGTGAACTAAGCCCAGGAAATATTGCTCACGAAACAATGAGAAACCACGTAACAATTTTCAGATGTTGGAAATGTTTTTGTAGAAGTTGATTGTGCAACAAATATTAGAGGAAATCTGTTCATAAATTGAGAGTCAACAAAGCTCTCTGTGGTACCTAATATGACTGTTCACCTAACACGTCACAGGATTACCCTCCGAAAAAATATCTTCCAAAGAAAATCCAACCTTGACTGAAAGTCAACAACGGTAAGAGAATTCTCCCTAATCCTTTTAAACACTACAATAGTCACTAACAAAGGTAAATGTTATTGTTTCTACTCTGAATGTCTGGCTTCATCTTCTACAAACAAACATTTATTTTACCTTTTCTGATTAAAGTGAAAGGTCTCTGCCATTGTATTTCTGCTTCCTTGGTAGCTAATGAGCCTGACGAAATTACCCTTACATCTTCTCTCTAATATTTCAACCAACGTTTTCAGATCTTCCACTAATCTAACCTGTTCCTAAAATTCGTCATCCTAATCTGTTCCTAACAGTCACAGAGAGTCTGAAGAAATTTTGCTCAATATTGAAAAGGCAAACATCAACCTCAATCTGTGAATAGCTGTTAGACTGCAACCTTTACGTATCTAGTACTTTTCTGCTTAGAAAGATGAGCAGCTCATCACAATTAAAGCCATGGATATTGCAAAGACGACAACAGAAGGTGAACACAATCAGTTCTACATTTGCTATGTTGGTGGCTTGCATCACCTGAATCAGGAAGTCTCCCGGAAGGTCATACGCCTTGCAGAGTTCTGATACCGTCACCTGGCCAGTTTCCTGTAGTTTATCATTTATTTCTTCTGCTAATTGATCCAGGTAACTCCTTATTTAAAAACAAGAAAAAAAATCCCAACACATTAAGTGTGAAATTCAAGATCAACCTCTTATCCACATGATGAAAATTAACTGACCTGGCACTATACCCCTTCCTGTTGCATCTTTGCAAAAAGAATCTGGAAGTTATTTTAAATTAATAGAGGAGAATGATGTCAGCGGGGTTTTTTTTAAAGCCTGCTAACTAGGTAGCTTGTATTAAAATCGGTCATTTATCTGCTTGCATGAAACTGTCAAAAAGCAGGAACAGGAAAACATTATATGCCAATGAGACTTAAAAAAGGGCTTTAGTGAGCAAGACAGGCCTTAATTACTTCAAGAGAGACAGGAATTTCACATTCTTTGCCAATAATAAATCCTGCAGCATAATCAATAATAGAGACAAACCCCTAAGAGTATTACTTCAGTGGCTGTTAGTGGGCTGAAAGCCATGAAATAACTTGCTCATACATCTTAGGCTTGTGAGGCAAAGTAAGAGGTGAGAAAAAATGAGGGGATTGTCAACAGCTGGGACAGACAGCAAAGCCACAGAGCAAATTAGATCTGGTTGCTGGACACAAAGACACTGGGTACAAAATGAAGTCTCTCAAGTGAGAGGATACTGGGCAAAGACATTCAGTAAGGCCTTTGCTCCATGGATTCACTGGAGATAAGCCTCACACGCCATTTGGAAAAGCAGCACTGATCACCCAGCAGCCCTAGTAGCAGTCAAGCAAAAGGTATTTCACTTCAGAATCAACAAAGTCTGGCCATCATTTTTAGTCTGCATTTTAAAAAATAAAAGAAATGTGAATTATACATGTTGCTCCTGAAAGTACTCACTCATTTATAAGCTGTCCCAGTACAAGCTGAATACTTTTTTCTGATTTAACAATGTCGTTAGCTCTGTTTTCAATGTGCAGAAGGTCCACATTTATTACCTAAAAAAAATACCCCAACAAAACCTCTTATCAGAACTTTAAACTGAAATTCATTCTCAAACATTGAGATATCATACTTAGAGATTCCTATGTCTTGAGGAAAGTTGCTTTTATTTTTTTCTACTATTGTATACATATGCAGTTAATTTGTGATTTGGAATAAAGCGGCAACACTTTAGGGGGAAAAAACTCTCTTTGCAACTATGAGAAGGTTAAAAAAAACCCTATATAATAAAAAATTCCAGGAAGCTATGAACAGAAAATAATACATTGTCTTTCAGAAAGATTTTCTTATCACAAGTAATTTTACTTAATCCAGAAGGGAAAATTAGTCACAGAGGAAGACTACTGGAGGATACAGATTAGTGGAGACGAGACTAATGAAGGAAGCGGGAAGATCCAAGGAAGCATGCAAAGTTAATTATGCATGCTCTTGCAGCTTCAAATTTAAACAGGAAACATTTCTTTTCTGTTTGCCCACCTTAGTTTCCAAAGGAAGAGTTCAGAAAGAAAATCTATATTTTCTAGTGGTGATTTCAGAGGTTGTAGATTATCATTAAGCAGAGAGGAGCTTTCAATAAAGCAGTAAATGAAAGGATGACATAATTTGCAATACTCTGACTTAAGCTATGAGCTCTTCATGAAGTCTGTTCTTTTAAAAAACTAATTTAACTGGACTAAAATTGATGAACGCCATATTTACAATATACATGGTGAAGAAAAGAAAGACATATATAGTTTTTTATTACTAAAACATTACCTGTTGTAAGTCAACAATGTTTACTCGACCTTAAAAAAAAAAAGTACAAATATACTTTTAGTATATAAAACATGTTTGAACAGATTTAGAACACAGCATAATCCACCATGCACAAAATATTCCTTCCTTAATTTTTTAGACCATTTAAATCAACTTCAGCTTTATATATTGTCAAATCACAAAAATTACAGGTGGTCAGTGCAAGATATCCCATATTGTTCTACCCTATGGCCTTGCTGACAATACAATACAGAAACTCGAGAAGTAAAAATCACTGTTCAAACACCCTCCCAACTAATTTTCGCCTTGATGCTGATCCGGATTTGACCACTAGTCCATAAGTATCAAAACAGAGATTGCCAAAACTTTCTACCTTTGCATGATGCTACTAACAAAAGCCAGCAACTTGAAATTCAGTTCCAGCTATCACAGTCATACAATACACAACAGCATAATACAAACGGAGGTATACTTGTGGTAATTGTAAGAAAATGACTAATTTGAATGAACACAAAATGAAGTTAGTTTTCCAAACATACCATGCCATGAAATTCACACTTAATATAACTAAATATAACTAAAAGTACAATATACTGTGCTCTCATTAAAACCACTGAAAAAAGTAGTTTGAAGTTCATTTGCTTCCTTATACATCTAAGCCAGTTCTTACAAAGGAGATGGCTCATCATATTGGTAAAATAAAAGATCTGTCAATGTCAATTAAAAAAAATTATTATTACTAATGATGTGAAAGGAGAATGAATTTGAAATTCAGAGTGAAGGGCAAACATGTGTGCCAGATACTTAACCATACTAAAATGCCAAATTTCCTTCAAAGGCGTTCTTAGACCACTTCTACCTCAGAAATCCTGCATTGGTGAAAATGAACCAAGTAACATATCTTGATATGCTTACCTAGAAACTTAATACAGATCTGAAGTGAAAATAACATAATAGTACATGAATTCATGTGCAGATGAAGCAAGAGGAAGCAAGCTCCCTTTTTTTGCAAGATTAAGGGTACTGAAGAAAATTTTTAAATTCTTTCTGTAGTCTTCAAAATTAACTTCCAAATCCAGAGGAAGAAAGCTAATGCCAAGCTTACCACCACAAACGTGAAGCTCGTCCTGGATCTCCCTAGTAATTTGTGCTGGAGTGACATACTCTTTTCCATCAAGCGTGTGCACTACCTCCAACTGCTTTTCCGCTATCAGTTTAGTGACAATCTCTATACAGTTCCGTTCTGACAACCTATCAACAGCATAAAGAACAATCAGTTGTTTCTAAGTAGTTGCTAAAATTATGTTTCAAAACTACTAAACACAGGAAATACAATGAAGATTACTTGCTGTTCTGCGTAAACTTTTTACGGCAAAAAAATAATTTTAGGATCCTAGGCTACCAGGATCATAGCCCCCTAAATCATCCATGTGGCTTCACTTATGTGAGTCATCTCTCAAATGACTTCTACTCTTCTCGTGAACAGCTGTCAGCATCTTTTGCTGTAAGAATGCACCTGTCCGTGAATTTAGGAACGGTTGTGCTGACAGAATGTGTGTCTTTGATCCTTCTGCACTTTTTCAGGGGTTTTTTTTTGTTTGTTGGGGATTTTTTTTTCTTTAATAAAAACAAATTCTGACCAACCACCTCAACTGCTCAGCACCACCTAAGGAAGAAACCGAGCACTGGAGCCGTGACGATGTTTGGCAGCTTGAACTTAACAGCGATTACACACCCGTGCGCTTTCCTGGACCTGCACACACCCTCCGGGGGCCCCAGATGTCCCCTCGGGGCTCACGAGCACTAACCCACCGGTCACCGCCAGACAACGGGGGACCACAGAGAGGCAGTGCCTGGTGCAACCTCCCGGGACCCCGCTGTGTGCCGGGACCGGCGGCCGCG